AACCAACTAAGCCTGCAAGTTTCGGACGCCAATATTAGTTCGACCTAACAAGCTAAGACCTAGGAGTGTAAGGATCCCTCGGACGCCTCTGTCTCTTTGGATTTGTTGGCAACACATTAGGAGTGTAGCCAACGTCGGTGTGGTCGCGTCGCCGATGCGTACGGCTCGTACCCTGCAAGTATATGATATGCACGATTACTTAGAATTCTTTATGATCGTTAGTTCATGTAGCCTACGTATTTAAAGAAACTACATTTGTTAGTACCTGTGAGACTCCTTGGATATCAAGCGGGGCACCACCTAGCTAAGACATGCCGATCTCATCCTGCGGCCAATCGTCCCACTGGTCGTGCTGTCTGCGGAAGCCTGGGGGGTCGTCGTCGTTGTCATCGTCGTCCTCGGTTGCAGGGTCCTTCCCAGCGCTATGATGTGGTGGTGTACGCACCGCGGAAGTGGCACCTGTCACCGGCTGAGAAGAACTGGCTGGTGTTCTCAAAGAGGCTGAAGACGTGCCACCCGACCACGCCGGGAGTGACGGTTCTTCATAAGAAGTGTCCATGCAGCTCAGCTTTTGAGCTAGATTCCTGCAGCTCTTCTTCACCTTCTGCATAAATGGACGTTAAAGTTAGTGCATTTCCCAAACGCATATATACTAAAGAAACATTTTCGGAATGGACCAGTTTATGTTTACCTCCACAAAAACCTCGAGAACACTTGGCCCTGCCCTCTACACTCGTGAAGCCGGAACGCTGCTTCGTTGGACAGCCTCGATAATTGTGTCGCCTGGGTATAGAAACGCGGTTCAACAGTTTTAGTATACATACTTAATACCAAATGGATAACAAATTGTACCATTCAAGTATCTTACCACGTATCTTTGTAGCGGGGCTCTCTGTAGCTGTGTGTCCTCTCTAGTGGCAACGTCGTACACATCTTCCTCTGAGTCCTCGTCAATCGCCTCCTCAGTGTACAGGGGCTTGATATGTGTCCTCGTAGACCTGTGAAGCCAGCGCAAGTACTCGTCGAAGGTGTGCTGGTCGTGTGGAGGACCCGCATGGACCGGCTGCCGTTCCCTGGTCTCTCACAAGTGGATGTGCGCGTTGTGTGTCACGCGCCAATCCTTGGTCTTGTACCTCTTCCTGCGGTCATACCTGCAACAAAACGATGTTAGTTGTACCACACATACCTCTGAATTATAGCTTTGTTATTAATCGATAACTGAAAGGTCCTAATATGGCTAGAGGGGGGGTGAATAGCCTATTTAAAAATCTACAAATCAACTAGAGCAATTTGATTAGTATGACAAATAGCGTAATGCAAACTTGCTCTAGCTCTACAAGGGTTGCAAGCCACCTATCCAACAATTCTAGTTGCAATGAATACTTAGGCACACATACTAGCTATGTAATTACTCACTAAGAGCTCTCAACCTTGCTACTCTAAAGAGCTCAACTAGATGAATGTAAATAATAAAGCAAGCTCTCAATTCTAATTACACTAAAGAGCTTGTATCAACTAGTTTGCAAGAATGTAAATGAGCGAGTAGAGTGATTATACCAACGTGTAGGGGATGAACCAATCACAAGATGAATATATAGCCAATCACCGGGAGAATGACAAAGAAGAGAGACAATCGATTTTCTCCCGAGGTTCACGTGCTTGCCAACACGCTACGTCCCCGTTGTGTCGACCAACACTTGGTGGTTCGGCGGCTAAGAGGTGTTTCACAAACCTCGTCCACACGATAGGACACCGCAAGAACCGACCCACAAGTGAGGTAACTCAATGACACGAGCAATTTATTAGAGTTACCTTTCGGCACTCCGTCGGGGAAGGTACAACTCCCCTCACAATCACCGAAGGCGGCCACGAACAATCACCAACTCGTGCCGATCCTTCACCGCTGCTCCAACCGTCTAGGTGGTGGCAACCACCAAGAGAAACAAGCGAAATCCGCAGCGCAACACGAATACCAAGTGCCTCTAGATGCAATCACTCAAGCAATGCACTTGTATTCTCTCCCAATCTCACAATGATGATGGATCAATGATGGAGATGAGTGGGAGGGCTTTGGCTAAGCTCACAAGGTTGCTATATCAATGAAAATGTGCAAAAGTTGCCCTTGAGCCGGCCATGGGGCTATAAATAGAGCCCCCATCAAATAGAGCCGTTGTACCCCTTCACTGGGCAAAACGCGCTCTGATCGGACGCTCCGGTCATACCGACCGGACGCTGGCCCTCAGCGTCCGGTCGCCCGATGGACGCCACGCGTCACCAGCTTCAAACGATGTTCGTCAGATTTCAACGGCTACGAAGCTGACCGGACGCTCCGGTCAAAACTGACCGGACGCTGAAGCCCCAGCGTCCGGTCGTTTCCAGTAAGCTCCCCAAGGCATGTTTTTTCGACCGGACGCGTCCGGTCCACCTTGACCGGACGCAGACCAGCGTCCGGTGCTCAACCCTTCCTACTGTGCCGCCGAGTCAGCGCGACCGGACGCAGGCAGTCAGCGTCCGGTGCTTCTGGATTCAGCGTCCGGTCACAGGACCGACGCGAGCATCATTTTGACCAACTCCATTTCAATTCTAACTTCTTCACCCTTGCTCAAATGTGCCAACCACCAAGAATTTTGCATCCGGCGCAATAGAAAATAGACATTTCATTTTTCCAAAAGCGCCGAATATTTTCACAAACCCATCTCAACCCTACAAACACCTTGTGCACATGTGTTAGCATATTTTCACAAATATTTTCAAGGGTGTTAGCACCCCACTAGATCCTAAATGCATATGCAATGAGTTAGAGCATCTAGTGGCACTTTGATAACCGCATTTCGATACGAGTTACACTCCTCTTAATAGTACGGCTATCTATCCTAAATGTGATCACACTCACTAAGTGTCTTGATCACTAAAACAAAATGGCTCCTACATTTTATACCTTTGCCTTGAGCCTTTTGTTTTTCTCTTTCTTCTTTTCCAAGTTCAAGCATTTGATCATCACCATGCTATCACCATTGTCATGATCTTCGTCATTGCTTCATCACTTGGAGTAGTGCTACCTATCTCATAATCATCTTGATAAACTAGGTTAGCACTTAGGGTTTCATCAATTAACCAAAACCAAACTAGAGCTTTCAATAACGCACCCGTGCAATCCTTGGTTGGTGGAGTAAAGCGGTGGTGGGCAGCCTGTCATTCTTCTAAACTGTCTGCAGACCCTGACGGGCAAGTGAATCTCCACCACGTGGAAGAAAATAAGAGGAATGTTGCAGTGATACTCCTCTGACTCGTCCCTATTGATAGGACTGAGATAGTACTGGAGCTCCGGAGCATCCCAAGGACACCAATGCACCTGAACATTTTGTAATTGAGTTAGGCTGTGATATAGTGTACATCGAACAAGACACATGTATGATAGTAAAGAGAGCGTAACCTGGTGCTGTGTCAGGACGTCGAGACCGTCCGTGTACTCCCTATACTTACGCCTCGCATTCCATCTAACTAACTCTGATTCCATCCAGATAAACAAAGCTGTAGGGAGTATATCCTGCCCGTTCCATTGCTGTATTGAACACGATAATGAATTAGTCATTAATAAACTCATCATATGTAACCATATCGAAGAATATAATGAACCGAAATACTTACCGGTAAACTAGTATTAAGGGGCCTCCCAACGGGCCATGGTTCCCAACACCAAACCTGGAGTAGGTACGAGCCACCCCCAAGGTTCGCATACCCTGAGGTGCGACGGCAGGCGACGCATAGTTGTCGATATGTCCATGCCAGGACTACGCTGCCCCAGTTGTACGCCGCTATGTTCTCCCACGGCTGGCGTAGTATGTCAAGGACGATCCAGCTGATGGTGTTGCCCGAGGCGTCTGGGAAGAGGAAAGCACCAAGAAAGTGCTAGAGCCATACTCGAGCGAACCTATCGATCTGAGCCTCCTCAGCCTGTGGGTCCAATTAATCAAAGCGCTCCGTGATTTAGAACGACGAAACACCGGAACTTTTCCTGAAATTGACCAAAGAAAATGAGACTCGATGGCTACAGGAAAGCAATGCAAGTATTAAATAGCCTTGAATTTCTCACTTATTTTTCTTGGAAGCCTCGTCGTCCGGTGGAAGAAAGTCAGTAAACTGAGCCACCAGCTCCCTCCAATAATCATTGTCAACTATCCCTGTCACTAGAAGTCCCCTCAACCGAAGGCCAAAAATAGCCTTCACGTCCTACATGGTTAAGGTCATCTCGCTACAAGGTAGGTGGAACATGTGGGTCTCAGGCCTTCACCTGTTATAAGAATAGAACGACTGATAGTTGCCTCAAATTTGTTACAAGAATGTTTACGCACAAATAAGGCACTCGCACTTGTCTACAGCTGCAATAAGTAGTGCTGGGTAAGGGACGGAAGACCGTAGTTGACAACACAGACAAGTTCGAGGAAGCCGGCACGTCGTATGTACGGCGCGTAACGCTCGTCCCACTGGTGCGCCCTGGTGTGCGTGCGGGGCCTCAAAGGAGGCAAGGCCACCTCTACGTTGTTGTCACTCAAGATGTGTGCTCGGTGCTGGTCGTCGTACTCCACCTCAAGAATGGGGTACAACGGGTGCTGCATGGGAGGGGCCAGTGGCGGATCTAGAAAAAATATTTAGGAGGGGCTGGGCCAAAAAGAGCTAGACCAACTTCACTCAATTATATTCCATACAAAGCTAAGATATAGCGGTTTTAAACCTTTTACATGATAACTATGATAAACAATCGAAAGTGCATTATAAAACACATAAGAAGAAGTAAAAGATACAATTTTTAGAACTAACCAACAAAAGATCGATAGATGATGACGCATTCACGCTGTTGTATTCTTCATGAATCATTAGGAGCAATCTATACAAGAAAAAAATAAATTAGTGACACAAATTTCAAGTATTTAACTTTAAAGTTTTGAAGGTAGAAAGAACATATATCATACAACTAAATTGTTCCGAGGCACTAACATACGTCAGATTTTCATGTCTTCAAATCGTTTTATGATTTTGTCATTCTTGATGCTTCTAAATATCTTCTTCTCATTGTAACATATCATTAAGTCATTGAGCCATTCATCACCTATTTTATTACGTAAATCTGTCTTTACAATAGACATAGCAGAAAATATCCTCTCAACTGAAGCTATTGCCACCGGAAGAATTAATGTTAATTCAATGAGCCGATACACCAATCCATAAGATGTGTTCATTTTAGTCTTGACCATAATTTCAGCAACCTTTCCAAGCTCTGTACATCCAAGAAAGTCTTGAGTTCTTCTAGCACGACTGACAAATCCTCGCAGTTGACCAGGCAAAAGAAGAAGGTCACCGACGTCAAAATCCACAGCATAAATTTCAGCAAGTCTCACAAGCTTATCCACATCAAAATTAGAGAAGGAGTTCCTTGGGTTAAGACAAGCCATGCATACTAATAACTCTGAACTAACTTCACCAAATCGATGATTCATCTCAGACAAAATGGCATCTATGGCAGCAAGGAAAATCTCAACATGGTAGAAGTGCATGTTTGTTACTTTTTGCTTTCTACGTGTAGATGTCCCTCTAGCATTTATTTCCTTGTCCATATCTGGCACTTCAATCTCATTCTTATCACAGAATGTTTTCACTCTTTTGAATAAGGGATCCCATCCATTGTCCCTCATATCCTGCAACTGCTCTTTGACATCTATGATCAATTGCATTGCCTCAACAATGTCTTGATCCTTCCTTTGCAAAGCATGTGACAGACTGTCTGTGATGCTCAACAATTCTATCTTTAAATGCATTATGAACACAAAATCAAACATCTCCATTTTACCAATTAAACCAAATGATCCACCATTATTTTCTGGTTTAACAGAGTCTTTCTTTACTATCTCAAGAATGTCTATGACAGCTTCCCACATCACCAAAATACGAAGTAAAGTTTTAAGATATGAACCCCATCTAGTATCTCCAGGCCTTGCTAGGCTACATTCCTGGTTCAAACCTTTTCCAGTGATAATCTCCCCACTCTCCAACTTTTCTAACAACACATCATGATGCTTTGCAAGCAAGGCATCCTTTCTCATACATGATGCGCCGACAGTGTTGACTATTAGAGGAACATAGTTAAAGAAATCTGCAATGGCTGGAGTAGAAGTTGCAACAGTAACAACCACTAATTGCAATTGATGGGCAAAACAATGCACATAGAATGCATAAGGATTTTCATCTCGAATCAATTTTTGCACACCATTAAATTCACCTCTCATATTGGAAGCTCCATCATAACCTTGCCCACGAAGGCTAGAGATTGGTAGCTTATGACTGTTAAGCATTTTGACCAGAGCTTCTTTCAATGAAGCAGTTGTACAACTCTCAACATGCTAAAGTCCAAGGAGCCTCTCCATCACCTTCCCTTCATCATTCACAAACCTGCAAACCATATTTTATTTCATGTTAGTACAAGTGTACAAGTAAAAGTCGAGGTAAAAAAATAGAGTTGTCATCTACTAACCTCAAAATTACAGCCATCTGTTCTTTTATTGATACATCTCGAGACTCATCAATCAATACAGAAATTTTTTTATCTCTAATCTCATCCATAATCACTGACATGACTTCTTGTGCACAAGCTTTTGTAAGGTCCTTCTGTATATGATGAGATATCATTGTGCAATTTTTTGCACCTTTATCGTATGCATCCTTAACAATCTCAACTTTATCTTTGTACCAATCAACCATCTCTCTATATGTACCCTTATTGTTGGAAGTAGAGGACTCATCGTGTCCACGAAAAGCATCACCTTGCATTATGAGAAATCTTGCTACATCTAAAGAAGAGTTCAAGCGAATCTCATATCTTTTCTCTTCCTCCTTGCTAATTACATCAATTCTTCTAGCCACATTTGTTCTTTGGTTCATAAAGTCATCACACTTTAGCCTAGCATTATTGTGAGTCTTGCAAGTACCGTGCTGATTAAAATTGTCCTTAGCTTTTTTCCAGTTAGTATAACCATCCTTTGCAAAAACAGAACTACCAAATTTTTCAGGCTTCCCCGGATCAAAGAAAAGATAACAATATAAGCAATAAGCTGCATCCTTCGACTCACTATACTCTAGCCAATCAAACTCATCAAACCAAGTTTGCTGAAATGATCTCCATTGACCATTTTGCCATTTACGAGCAAAGGTAAGATTACGAGGTTGGGTCGGACATCTCAAAGCATATGCCCTTCTAACTTGGTCTCTAATTTCTGGTGGATATTCTTCAATTGGTATGCGATTTCCTGGATCACCAACTACATCGGATTGACTAAACTCCACTCTACGCCGAATTGGTTGATTTATGCTATTATTACTACCTAGAGTTGATGTACTACTTGTACCAGAAAAATATATGTGCAATGTTCTTTTGAACATTTTGAATAATCTGCAATTTATTAAATCCTAATCAAATTTTGAACGATTACAAAGTTCAAAAGACAAATCTAAAGAAAAAGAGTATACCTGCTGGCTGCTGCCCTGTTGGTGCTGCGGTGCTGCCGCCTAGTGCCCCAACTTTCAGCGAAGGCAAAATGGAGGAATAAAATCAGTCCTAGCTAGAATAAAAAGGAATGCTAAAAAGCGAAATTAAATTGCACGCATGACGCATCACCGAAAGCAAAAGGGCTACCTGACACCTGACAGGGTAAGCTCAATTCGTTGCAGCCTTTGCAGGAAGCCAGGAACCCCAAATTTCAGAGAATCCAGCAGGCAATTGCACACGGAGTCACCGCCGCGCGCCGCGCCCCTGCTGGCTGCTGGCTGCTGGCCAGCCCTGCGCGCTGCGCCCCTGCTGGCTGCGCGCTGCTGGCCTGCGCCTGCGATGCGCGGCCGCTGCTGCCTGCTGCCTCCGCCCGCTGGGATCCCGGCGCTGCGGCGCCTCCGTCGGCCGTTGGGCAGGAGCCAGCCAACCCTAGCTGGAGCCGTCGCCGCTCGCCCAGTCGCCCACTCGCCGGCCCAGTCAGCTCGAGTCGAGTGCCTCTGCTCCCGTGACCGACAGAATGAGAAGAGAAATGAAGAAAAAATGTCTGTTTCTTGATGGGCCATGTACAGGCTTCGTTAGTGGGCCACACATTCCGGCCCAGGAAGCAGATCAACTCGTCTTCAACCTCCGTCCGCGACGCGAACCTCTCCAGCCCCTCCTTCCTAGTGGCTATGGCTGAAAATTTTATGAAGGGGCTCAGGGGGGCTCCAATGGCACGGCCAAGGTAGGGGGGGCTTGAGCCCCGGCAGCCCCCCCGGCATATTAGCCACTGAGAGGGGCCATTCTGTTTTAAATTGATAAACAAAGGGTTAGAGTATTCAAATTAACATTATGTAGCATTGCGAAATTTGAACTACTTGTTATGCAATACGAACACAATATGAAAGCACATGTATATATTCAAAGTAACATTAATAGACATATTAAACAACTTAACTAGGAATATAAGCATTTGACGAAACTTTATCAAGTCATCAAAATCGACGTATCACGCACTAGTAAGTACCGACATTTAAAAACTAGTATCTATAACCAAAATCCCTAACTAAATAATTAATTATAAACTAAATAATAAATACCTAATCAATCCCTAAACCCAAAATCCTAACTATACTACAACACACAACCTCAAACCTAAAAACTACCTACCTAAATCACAAACAAATTCACTAACCTAACTATACTAAATCACTAACTATCCTAAATCACTAACTATCATAAATTAATAACAATCATAAAACCCTAACTATCATAAATCACTAACTATTATAAATCACTAATTATCCTAAATCAATAATAATCAAAATAAAATAAAATCGAGATGGGGTACCTTGATAGGAGCGGGCGGTCTTGACGCGCCAACGTTCGTGGCGCGGACGTGGGCGGGTGGGCGCGGCCGGAGTGGGCGTGCGGGCGGCCGTCCGGGCGCGGCGGCGGCGGACCGCGTGGGGGCGCTGTGGCGGCGGGGCGTTGCACGGTGGCGAGCGGGGGGCTCGTTCGCGATATTTATGTGCCCCTGACACGCCATGCTCCGTGGCGTGGCACTGCCACGCCAAGATGGGTGGCGCGGCAAGCCCTGCCACGTCAACCGTGTCCCTTTCCGGTCATCGCCACGTCAGCTCCCTGTCGCGCCACCATGCATAGCGCGGCACAGGCATTTGACCGCGCCATGGTAATAGGCACGGCCAAAAGTGTTAGTTTAAAAAAACAGAGTGTTAGATTTAAAATTAGTTTTCAAAAAGTGTTAAAATTAAAAAAAATTCTCACAAATCCTTATCCGGAGCACTGCACAATCTTGTCGGGTGCTTCAACGGAGTCACAAGCCACTAAGCCATCTAGGAGGTGGCAACCTCCAAGAGTAACAAGCACCACCAGCTTGCAACTCGATCACCTAGTACCACTCGATGCAACCTCATGATGCAATCGCACTACAATCACAATCATACTCAATCGGATGATCACTATCAATCGTATGTGAGTTAGAGGGCTCCCAAGCACCACTAGATAAGCCACAAAGGCTCTAGTGTGCTCAGCTACCAGCCCAAGGCCGGCCAACACTTCTATTTATAGCCTCAAGGGCTAAAATAGCCGTTACCCCTTCATTAGGCAAAATACACAGTGATCGTACGCGCCGGTCATTATGACCGGACGCGCCAGGCCCTGCGTCCGATCACTCCCGATCGTCCATGTGTCGCCTACGTTTGACGTCGGCTGCGCGATCCCAACCATCGGCTTTGTGCGCCAACGGTCAAAGAATGACCGGACGCGTCGAAGGATGACCTGACGTGTGCAACCCGCGTCCGCTTGCGCGCCCCTACGCGCCACAGAGCCAAGGACCGGACACGCCTTTGCCTTGACCTGACGCTGCACCGCGTGGAGTCAGGTCGACTCCAGAGACTACCCCGAGAGGAATTTTGCCGATCAGACACATCCGTTCGCGTATGACCGGACGCACCGCGGCGTCCGCTCCTCTCTGCCTCGCGCGCCAACCCTACGTTAGTGTACGTCAGCAACGATCGGATGCAGGAGTGTCGCTTCCGGTCACCTCTAGGCTCCAGCGTTCGGTCATCAAGACCGAGGCCACGCCACTTCAGCTAACACTTACCAGACGCGTAGGTCCTGCCAAGGCCAGCGTCCGGTCACCTCCAGGGGCCTCTTTTTGCCTCCTTTTCTTCACCGAGTTGATCCACATCAACTCCAACTTATTCTCCTTTGTAGATGTGCCAACACCACTAAGTGTTCACAATTTGTGCAAGTGTGTTAGCATTTTCATAAACATTTTTCAAATGATTAGTCACTCAATTTACCACGCCACTAGATACTAGCAACAATGTAAACTTAGATCACTCGAGTGGCACTAGATGATCGATATACAAACAAGTTAGAAGGGTTTGTCATAAACCCGGTCATAAACTTGTCTACACACCTATGATCGATGAAATGAAATGCCATATGGTTATACCTTTGCCTTGCGTATTCCATTCCATCTCCTCCGATGTTGATGCAACACATGCATCAACCATATCACAAATGATATGATCCACTTCATATCATCACATGACCTTGTTGGTTCATCGATCTTGACCTCACTTGCTTTTCACCGTTGCCTTCGTCCATCGATGCCAAGTCTTGCTCAAGCTTCACCGCCACGCAGTCCATCACTCCAAAGCCTCCAACTTGCCCTTCACACTTGCAACCGGTCAATCAAGCCAAGCCATGTCTTGATCTTCTCCATCTTGGTCACATGACTCAATGTCATGTCTCATATGCAATGAGCTCCTTCATCACATGTGTGAGCTTTGCAACATCTCTGAGCTATTTTCACCTCCATGGCATATATTGCTCACACACATGTACCTATGGACTAATCACCTATGTATCTCACATAAACACATATTAGTCCACCTAGTTTGTCACTCAATTACCAAAATTAAACAAGGATCTTTCAATAGTGTGTAGTACAATTTTTGTTTTAGGCCCCGTTTGTTTGTTCAGAAGATTTTCATAGGAAAAACAATGGAAGCATAAATAGAGGAAAAGGAGTGGGAGAATATCATTTAGATTTATACCTTTTCATACCGATTTCATGGGGAAAAAAGAAATTCACTCCAACAGCTTGATTTCTCTTAGGATTAAGCATTATCGAATTAGCAATGCCTGAATCATCAGCGTATGCCTTACTATTGTACCAAGTCATGGAAAAAGAGGGTTGGCAGTAGAAAACATTTCTCAAATGGAGCCCATTTTCTGTAACAAAGATATAGAAAACATAGAGAAATCAAGCAAGCACACACCCTTAAGCCCAAATTGAACCCTCTCTGAGAAAGAATGTCACGGGCAATCAATTGGAGACAAGTCCTACTGGTGTTGCTCTAGCAGATACAATTCATATGCTTGTGATATGGCTAGTGACCCCCAACAGATACTCTGACTTGTTTTCTTGCTGACAAAGCGCTAGAGACTTTTCTTTGTTGCAAAGGATAACATACTGTTCTTGTAGGTAAATACTTTGGGTAGTGAGGATCACCTAGGATCCAAATAGTTTATTGTTGGGTAAGAAATCACACAAGCATCAAAGTTTGAAAACAAGACAAAGTTGTATTCATTTCATCCTCGTACTGTACATGTCAGAGGGGGTATTTATAGGGGCCCTACTCTTCGTACTTTACATAAAATGACTATTTTACCCCTAACTCAAATAGTTACAACCCTTTTC